AAAGGTTTTGCAACCCGCAGGACTTGCATGTTTCCAAATAGAAAGAGCTCACTGTAAGTTTGGTGACTGGATTGTCATGGAACATTCTATTCTATGAAACCAAGCCAATGTTTGTGTGCTCAAGGATAAATAATGGTTTGTTTGCAGAATGGATGAGTCAATAGAAAGAACAGGCTTAGGAAAGAGAATGTGCTGAAGGCCCTCTTGGTTTTGAATTTACCGAAGCAGGGAGCTCAGAATTCAGGTGCTTGGAAGGTATAATTTTGACTTCAAACCCAGGTGATTTAAAATTATTTCATTGTGATACCCAAATGTAAAGTGTATCATCTTAAGCATTTCTTGGTGTGCACCTAAGTAGTATTAAGTATATTCACTTTGTTGTACAATTAATCTCCAGAAACTTGTTTTTTTTCAACCTGAAACTCCGTATCATTAAACACCAACTCCCAATATCTTTTTTCCTCCTGCCTCTGGAAACCACTATTCTAATTTCTGTTTGTATGAATTTGGCTACTGTAGATACCGCACATAAGTGGAATCATACTATATTTGTTTTTGTGACTGGATTATTTCATATAGCACAATGTACTCTAGTTCATCTCTGTTGAACTCTACAGTCTGTGTCTGAATTTTCTTTTCTTTTAAGTCTGAATAAGATTCCACTCCATGAGGCCGGGTGCGGTGGCTCACGTCTGTAATCGCAGCACTTTGGGAGGCCGAGGCGGGAGGATCACGAGGTCAGGAGATCGTGACCATCCTGGCTAACACGGTGAAACCCTGTCTCTACTAAAAATACAAAAAATTAGCTGGGCGTGGTGGCAGGCGCCTGTGGTCCCAGCTACATGGGAGGCTGAGGCAGGAGAATGGCGTGAACCCGGGAGGTGGAGCTTGCAGTGAGCCAAGATTGCGCCACTGCACTCCAGCCTGGGTGAGAGCGAGACTCCGTCTCAAAAAAAATAAAAATAAAATAAAATAAAAAATAAAAGATTCCACTCCATGAATACCTAGATTTGCTTCACCCATTCATCTGGGGATAAACACTGGGTTGGTTCCCCCTCCTGACTGATGTGAATAGCATCCTTAAAGACATGCGTATACAAGACCTCTACAAGATCCTGATTTCAGTTCTTGTGGCTATATCATGAGAGGAGAAATTCCTTGATCCTATGATATTTTCCATTTTAATTTGAGAGGCCATGATCTTCCATGGTGGTTGCACTATTTTACATTCCCAACAAGAGTGCACAAGAATTGCTACCTCTGTTCATCCTTGTTACAATGTTATTTTCAAAATTCTTAGTTTGCTTGTTTGTCTGTTTTATAATAGTTATCCTATTGGGTATGAAAATCTATGTTATTTTGACCTGAGATTTGAAAACGTCAAAAAAAAAAAAAAAATCAGTGGGGTAACAAAATCTGAAGGTGTCTCACCTCTCCCACCCATTCTGCTGTCATGACCCACAGAGGAATGTGCAAGTTCCCCTCCATTTGCCCATCTTGTTCTCCAGCCACAAACCCCTCCTTGTTCTACCATGTGCACTTGTCTGTTTCAGGTTCACCTGGCTATCTGAAGTCCCCCACAAGCCACTTGGTTTAAGCCGTGTCAACTTCTCTCATGCTTTTCCTTGGGCCCCTTCCACATTTTGTTTTGTTCTGTGAATCAAATGCTATGTGTCCCTGAGCAGGACTTAGATACACTACTCTGTATTCCAAGCCTCACATCTCAATGCCTTCACCCAGAACATTCCATGCCTCCCCTGTGTTTCCCTGGAGCATTCTGCTCATGGCTGGGGAGAGGTAGAGGAATAATCCCCACAGGCTGCTCTACTGCTATGACCTTGGAAACTCAGAAGCTGTGATGCTCCTAGTTGGAAGAGAAACTAAAGGGGAGTTCCTGTTAGTGGATGTAGAGCTTGGTGAATTGATATTAAATTTTCCTGAAATTGTTTAAGTCTTGGCTTGCACTAGAAGATTAGGGGTTGGCTGGTTGGTGCAGCACCATCCTCTTACCGCTGTTCTCTCTAGTGATGCCGAAAACCAATGAGTTTCTTTCACAGTCACCACCATGCTACTCACCTTTCACCCTCAACTGCCTACAGAAAACCGGCCCCATGAGCATTCTTTTACACTAACCATGACCATCACCCATTTAGCAGTTTGTTGATTCTTAAATTTATCATTCATTTGTTAAAAGATGCCCTGCTGATCTTCTTCTCCATGCCAGCCACTGTGCTAAGCCAGGATGAACGAAACCAGATACTGACCCTCTGCTTATGGAGCTAACAGTCAAGAAAAATGTGCATCAGTGAAATGATTACACATTTGTAATACAACAGCCTTGAGATTGCTGCAAATGAGAGGTGCATGGTTCCAGCAGAGTCTATAAACGGGGGCACTGACCAAGTCATCAGGGTCAGGCAACAATGGCCATGGATGGAAAGAATAAACTAAAACCTTGAGTCAATTATATAAAAAGGAGGGAGCCATAAAAAGCATCAATGATGAAAACAAAAAAAACCCTGCATAGGTGTTAACTGTGGTAGGACTAATAAAAGTACATGCAAGGCTGGGCGTGGTGGCTCACGCCTGTAATCCCAGCAATTTGGGAGGCCGAGGCGGGTGGATCACAAGGTCAGGAGATCAAAACCATCCTGGCTAACATGGTGAAACTCCATCTCTACTAAAAACACACACACACACACACACACACACAAATTAGCCGGGCGTGGTGGTGGATGCCTGTAGTCCCAGCTACTTGGGAGTCTGAGGCAGGAGAATGGTGTGAACCTGGGAGGCGGAGTTTGCAGTGAGCCGAGATCATGTCACCGCACTCCAGCCTGGGCAACAGAGCGAGACTCCGCCTCAAAATAAATAAATAAATAAATAAATAAATAAATAAATAAATAAATAAAAGTACATGCAAACAATCCTCTCTCAGAGATACACATCCTCTCCAATGGACTGTACAGATAAGAAAGTGAATGCCAAGCCTGAGCGAGGATAAGCTCTCATCCACAAATAGGGTGGATGCCTCACAGACCCGTCTGCTGCAAAAGAGGCCTCAGTCCTGAAGCCCATATTCATGGGTCTGTAGACTCCGAGACCATGAGCTGGGTTTCTTTTTCCATTTATGTCCGAGAGAAATGGTGTATCTAGGTGTCCGTGTAGTTCTGCAAGTAGGTGATTTTGTGGATTTTGGCTGTGCTCTAAACTAGGAACGACTGGCAAACCATGACATATATGACAAATGGGACAAGATAATGGCAGTTTACATTGATTGAGAACTACTATGTACCAGAACTTGGTATATTTTAAACACACACACACATCCATGAACAAACCCATTTGATCATCTATCAACCCAGTGATGTAGGCACCATTAGTAGCCTTACTTTGACAAATAAGAAAACTGGGGTTACATAAACTCAATACTTTTCCTAAGGTCCAGGAGCCCATAAATGAGGATCTGAACCCTCATAGCCGTGAGCCTCACCACCAACCCTCCCTCTCCTTTGTGTTAGCAGGGCTGATTCAGGGATTCCCTCGTCATTCTGTGTGATGAAAGTGAGATCCACCGCTGCCCTCAGCTTGGACTCAACGAAACCTGACCATGTGTCTCTCATGACACAACCTGTAAGGTCCCCTCCCTTCTTAAAGGTTTTCCTGGCTGGTTCTCAGCCCTGCTGTCTGTGAGAAACACCAGAGCAGTTTAAACAGTACAGAAATGAGGGATTTACCCCTATGCTACTGAATCAAAATCACCAGAGAGAGAAGCCTGTGGGGTCAGTATATCTTAAAAGCTCCAAGTGATTTGATTGCATAGCTGAGAATGGAAAGTTATGGCCTGGGCTGTGACTCCTCTCACATGTAAGTTTATTTAAGAGAGAAATTTCTGGTGATTACCTACTGACACCACATGAAGGCATCACAATGGGAGGGAAGGGGAGTATGTATTGCTTTATCTGGGAGCCTCCTTCACTTTCCATTAAAAATGGGATTGGCCCAGGCAGCACAGCTAGGTTTGAGATGGAAAACTTGAGCCTAGGGGTTAGGGGGAAGTGACCACCCACCCTGTTCATCTGTCTCTTCCCTTCCATTATCTTCCCAGCCTAGAGCCCCAGAGCAAAGAACTCTCAATACCTCTCTGATGCATGATTAGCTCCGGACACTCCAAAAGCTCTTGAGAAAAAGAGTTGGGTTACTTAATCATCAGATCAGCCCTAAGATAAGATGTGGGTGACTACACATCACAGAAAGCTTGCTTTGTATAGATAGAAAGTGTGAATCTTGGCCACATATATAACTGCACCTATAAACAAGACTCAGATTTGGGAGGGAGGCAGGCTACCGAACAGGTGCAGCAGATGTTTTCCCTCAGGAAATCTTCTACAGGTGGGATGTATTCAACTATGTTTTAGGTACCTATGCAGTGAACCTGGTGGTGATGGAATGGGCTGAGGGGAAGGATTAGACTTGCCCAAGGTGCAACTGAAACAAGCCTGGCTGGTTGTCAGACATGCAGGGGGATCAAAGCAGGGTCTCCTTATGTCCCTGCTCTCCCATAACCAGAACACAGCCTTCCGGCTTCCTGTGCCTTCCAAAGCCAGAACTCACCTGTGCCCTTGCACTGCTACAAAGATAAAAAGAACTAATCAGCAAAAGCTCATAAGGAAATTGAGAATCCTAGGAATATTTCCAGATGTGCCTGAACACTCACCTGGAGCACAGAGCAGAGTTCCCACAGGGCTACTGTCTTGTGCTCTGCCTCACTCGGATGCAGAGATTCCTAAGGAGGTCACATTGATGGATGGCAGCAGCCCTGGCTTGGAAGGGCGGGCTGGGAGCCAGGCCTCGTGACTTACCAGGTGCCCCAGTGGGCAGGACCAGCCAGGCTCCCTGGGTACAAATAGCCCTGGGCTCCACGACTACACAGGCTCCTGGAGTCGAATCCAAATCACTCATCGTTTGTGAAAGCTGAGCTCACAGCAGAATAAGCCACCATGAGGCTGTTGGTGTGTCTCCTGCTGGTCTCGCTGGCCCTTTGCTGCTACCAGGGTGAGTACATCAGTCATGAGTCCAGCACCAGCCCCTGGGACGTACCCTCCTCCGAGCACGAGAGCACCTGCACAAAACCAAACAAAATTCCAGACCCTTTTCTGTGCTTGTTGAATAAGATTCATAAAGCTTAAAGTGATTTCTTCTTCTTCTTTTTTGTTTTTTTGAGACCGAGTTTCGCTCTTGTTGCCCAGGCTGGAGTGCAGTGGCACGATCTGGGCTCACTGCAACCTCCGCCTCCTGGGTTCAAGTGATTCTCCTGCCTCAGCCTTCCTGAGTAGCTGGGATTACAGGCATGCGCCACCATGCCTGGCTGATTTTGTATTTTTAGTAGAGACGGGGTTTCTCCATGTTGGTCAGGCAGGGCTCGAACTCCCGACCTCAGATGATCTGCCCACCTCGGCCTCCTAAAGTGCTGGGATTACAGGCGTGAGCCACTGAGTCTGGCTGCTTAGAGCTATTTCTTATAATCCCCAGTATCTAGGGAGTTTTATAGAAAAATAAATGCCGGCAAATGTTAGGGATTCTTCTGCCTGAGCTTCACTTCTGAATGGGATCTGTGTGAGATGATGTAATGTGAGGTTTGGGGTGAATCCGGGCTTCGACACTTCCCACCCCTTGATCTTGGGCACAATGTTCACCCTCTCTGAGCCTCCTCCTATCACTGGTGATTAAAGCTTCTTCCAGGAGTGGCTATGAGAATGGGGTAAAGTTATGGTTGTCCAGAGTCCAGCTGTGGGCCAGGCATGGTGTCTCATTCGTGTAATCTTAGTACTTTGGGAGGTCATGGTGGGCAGATCACTTGAGCTCAGGAATTTGACACCAGCCTGGGCAACATGGCGAACGCCATCTATAAAAAAAGAAACAAATCTACAAAAATTAGCTGGGCATGGTGGCATGCACCTGTGGTCTCAGTTACTTTGGGGGCTGAGGGAGGATCGCTTGAGCCCAGGACATTGAGGCTGCGGTGAGCCGAGACTGTGCCACTACATTCCAGTCTAGGTGACCCTGTCTCAAAAAAAGAAAAAGAAGTCTAGCTGAGGATATGAAGCTCTTACCTTTGTTGTGTGACCTTGGGAAATTCACACCTGGAATTTCTGGTATTGTCATCAGCACAGTAATGGTATAGAAACATAGAACCCAGGGGATCCTGTCTGGTGTAGCATCAGGGAGCCATGAGAGAAAAACTGACTTTCCTAACATCAACAATATATTTATTTTTGTGCTGCAGCCAATGCTCTTGTCTGCCCAGCTCTTGCTTCTGAGATCACAGGCTTCCTCTTCTTCAGTGACAATCTGTTAAAGTTACAAGTTGCCAAATTTAATCCACCTCCGGAAGCTCTTGCAGCCAAGTTGCAAGTGAAGCACTGCACGGATCAGATACCTTTGAGTGATCGACTTCTCATTGAAAAAGCCTTGGTAATTTCTTTCTCCTTTATGCAGAGGCAGAATTAAACTCTGCTGCACACAGCCTCCTGCATGTTTCTCCTCAGGTGGCCTGCCTGCATACTGTGTCCCCAGAGTGTGCTGAGGACATGGGGAGTGAGCTAGGGCCCAGGCAGGGATGGTGAAGGGCCAAGCACGGCCCCCTCCCTGCTGGGAGCTTTCCTGGGCCAACCTACCCTCACGCAGTGGACACAGTCACTGTGGAATGTCCCGGGGAGCGTGGGAGACTTGAACAGGGAGCGAAGGCTTGGGGGCACCTAGAGCCGGGCCTCCCAGGCAGGGTGCTGGTGAACTGGGCTCCTCTGCAGCTTCTGCAGAGCCAGGAGCCCCCCGCAGCTCCGCAGGGCCCACTATCCACTCCTCATCCATGACACTGTCCTGACCACAGCCAGTGGGCCAAGACTTTTTCACTGCTCTACCTCCTGCAAGGCCATGGAAGGGGGACGTTCTCACTACGTCTTTCTCAAGAAATCAGAGATTCCAGGGCCCTCCCAGCCTGGCTGCTTCTGGATTGCTGTCTTGAGGTTTGGCTGCAAATACCCATAGAAGCGGCAGGGTCAGGCCTGATAAGACCCTTGGCTGCTAGGCAGAATTCTCCCATGGGAAGGCTGGAGTCTCCTGGAAGGCGTGTTTCCCAGAGGCCCTCCCTGCCCTGCCTGGCTTCAGAGCCCTGGTTCCCCCATTACAGGGATCAGGAGACTTCACAATCCTGGGACAGCCCAGACAACAACCTCTAGCTGCACTGTCAACCCCTCCCCTCCCCCTCCATGAAAACCCTGGACCTAACTCTTAGGTCTTCCCAGGTCTATTGGTCTCGTGGGGAAAGGCTGCTTTCTCACCAGAATGGGTATTGTAAGGCCACCAGGTCTAGGCCTCAGTTTCCCAAACTGAGTTCTTGCCTCTGCCTTTCCAATTGCCATTAGGAGCAAAATCCCACTGTCCTCTTTGATGTTAGCCTATCATCACCAGCAGCAGCATGACTGACCTCACCTTTCTTCCTTTTTTTGTTTTTGATTTCAGCTGAACATAGTGGTAAAATGTGGTGTGTGACATGTAAAAACGCTCAACCCAGTTTCCAGTCTTTCAACGATACCCTGATCTTCACTAAAAATTGTAAAGGTTTCAACATGTTGCTTTAATAAATCGCTTGCCCTGCACATCTCCACTGGTCTTGTTATGATCCTGCAGTCTCGGGCCTTGAGTCGAGGGTGGTTTCCACAGGGGAGTGGCCTTTTGCTGTGGCTGATAATTAACTCTAGAGTAACCAGCATTCTGGGGCCTGAATGCAAGCATCCCAGAAGGAAATATTTGCAGAAATCATCCTGCATTCCTTACAGATTTCCCATCCTGCGTTCGTGAATGAAAACCACGGCAATAGAAAAACAGGAATTACAACCGTCCTGCTGGTCTTGGACTGAGGGATTTCCCAGCCTGCCTTGGTGTCCAGGCACATGATTTCCACTAGCAGCAGCCCTAGCCCTAGTTTGATGTCCCCTCAGATGCACAGCCAGCCTGCTTGGTGCTCTCTCTGCACTATGCTTTCTCTCCCGTCATGTCCAGTATACTTTATTTTCCATTTATCACAGTTTGGGGGCATCTCCAGGTTTCAACCTGGAGTTCACATTGTTTTACTCCCCACATTCAAGAGCACTCCTCACTCTCTGCATCACTCACCAGCACCTGAGGCAAATGCTTCCTTCCTCAAGCTCTCCCAAGAGCTCCAGAGACCAGCACCCCTGCCAACTGGACAGCTCCCAGGGCGCACTCCACAGTCATTTCAGAAGCAGGATGTAAAACTGAGCACAGGGTCTGCCCCCAGCCTGCTCTCCCTTCCATGAGCCCATCCAGGCTAATGCACCCAGGCAGCAAGTCCCCTGACCAGGACACAGGGAGACGCCACAGGTTCCTGGTTTGGTGTCCTGTGGCTGCTGCAAGAAACCTCCGAAAACTTGGTGACTTAAAACAACTGATTCTCTTGTACCTCTGGAGGTCAGAAGCCCAACACTGATATCACTGTGGGGAGGTCAGGGGGCAGCAGGGCTCTGTTCCTTCTAGGGGCTCTCAGGGTGAGTTCACTAAGGGCTGCTTCTGGCTTCTGGGCTGCTGACCATCCTGGTCCTGTGGCCACATCGCTCCAACCTCTGCCTCCCTGATACATTTCCATCTCCTTTCCTTTCCATGTCAAATCCCCCTCTGACTTTTAATTACAAAATACAGGGGTTGGGATTAGGAAGCACCAGATTATGCAGAATAATGTCCCCATCTCAAGATCCTTAACTGAATCACGTCTACACCTTGGTTTTTCTTCTTGCAATGGGCCATTCACAGATTCTAGGGATTAGAATGTGGATATCTTTTGGGAGATGGAGGCATAAATCAGCCAACTACAGCTTCCCTCCCTCCTGATTCCTCACCGTACACTAAGTTCTGTTCACTCCATGGCCACAGCATCACCTCCACAAGTCCCGTCTTTCCCATAACACAGCCACCTAACAGTCTTGTCCGAGTCCTTCCAAACTCAACTCAGATTAAAGTCTCCTCACTGTTTCCCAGCCTCTGTGAGCCCTTCCTGTGAGAAATCCTCCTTATTCATGCCAATGTGAGCCTCCCAAAACTGAAACATGGTCCTATCCTCTTTCAACAACCCTAAACAACCAGAGCGCACGTATTCTCAAGGGTTTCAAGTAAGGGAAGTCATTTTTTACCCTAAACTCATGTTTATATGATAATAGCTATTGTTATACAACTGAGAAAAGAGTAGATAAGAGTAGTTATTATTAAACATTGCTTTTAAAAGAAATTTGTATTTTAATACCGCCAGAAAATATTTACACTTAAAAAAATAGAACCTAAGTGTGTGAAACTCAAGACCAGTTTAGCCTACACACTCTGCATGGACAGGCACAAGGATTCAGACAGACACAAGGATTCACAGAGCTCAGGCTACATCCTGAGAACCCCAGAGAGGAACCACTGCTGGAGGAACACATCCATAGCCTTGTGTTCCACATGAGGACTTCCAAGACCCTGCTCCGCTCCTGGGAGCCTTGTCTCCTCATCTTCTGTTTTCCTGGGTGCTCTGTCCTCAGCCATAGTTGTTTATGTCTCATTTCTTATGCATCACATGAGTCACATCCTTGCACCAAGACATATGGGTTTTCCTTTGCCTTTATAGACTAACCTGCCTCAGACGTTTGACCACCCCATCCATAGAATGCACTTCACATGTCTCCTTCTCTGTGAGGCCCCCTTGGATGCTCACACCTTACATTACATCTTTACACACACATGCAGCCACATGCATAGACATCCTTTTATATCATCCATTTATTTTCCTGTGAAATAGAATGCATGTCATAGCATTGTTGTGAGAACACATTATATAAATTAATACTATAAAGCACTCAACATACCTTAGAAATTATTACCCTAATGCTTACAATTAATAAAAATTTCTATTTATTGAACACCCTAGCATGCATCTTGCTGGAACATTTTTCATTTGTTTTTTAGTCCTCACTAGTACCCAGGAAGGTCCGAGATTGTTTCCACATTCCATGAGAATGAGAAATGCCTACCCAGGGCCCCTTAATCCTGGCTCCATTTTGGAATCCACTGGGAAGCTGTCAAAAGCAGGTGATGCCCAGGCTCTGTCTGGAACACATGAATCTGTGTAGAAGTAGAGCCCATGCAGTCCTCATTCTCTCACTTCTCTCTTCTATAGGGGCAGTCATCCAGTGACCTGGGGAGGCAGTAGCTGGTGCAGGAGTCCCCCATGATACTCGCAGGACTCCTGACATCACCAGGGCTGTTGCTTAGGGCCGCTACCTTAGCTACTTCCATAGCCTTTGAAGCCTGGGGGTCACAGGGTGCTCAGGCTTCTCATCATTCGAAGCTAATCACATTCATGTCACATATGGTAACATTTTCCATTCAGAGATTCTGTTAAAAGAGTGTGAAGTGGGATCCAGCAAGACCACTCGGGCTGGGACAGGGAGAAGAGGGTATCAAAGTCATTGTTAAGGAGTACAGAGTTTCTGTTTGGAATGAGAATTTCCTAGAAATGTATAGTGTGACAATATCAAGAATACACTGAAGGCCACATAATTGTACACTTAAAAATGATTGAAATGACAAGTTTCATGAAACGACAATACAATAAAAGAATGCAAGGACCGTTGCTCTCTGAGGGGGAGGAGGAACGTAACGTAACTGCAGGGGAGCTGGGCTTGTATTTTACCCCTAGAAATGCCTTCCTAGACCTGCCAGCATCTCATAGTCAGCTTTCTCGGTGTCTATGTGCTCATTGATTGACATCCTGGATTTCTTCTTTGCTAATGATAGTGCTAATTTTGAAGAACATTTAGTTCAAAAACCTGAGAATGAGATTTACCAAGGATGTAGGATTGACTCATGCAGGGTCTTTTGACTTTATTTCTTCAGGTGTCTCTCATGACCACTGAGCTAAGTAGAGTCTCATAATTTGCCCTCTGGACAAATATTATCAGTCTCTGCCTAGGCACTTTTTCTCCAGTGTCTTCTCCCTATGATTCATCCTACACTTTATGACAAGCTCAATATTCTGAATATGAAGTTTTGATTTAGTCATTGCTTATTTATTTATTTATATTTATTTATTTATTTATTTATTATACTTTAAGTTCTAGGGTATGTGTGCACAACATGCAGGTTTGTTACATATGTATACATGTGCCATGTTGGTGTGCTGCACCCATTAACTTGTCATTTACATTAGGTGTATCTCCTAATGCTATCTCTACCCCCTCCCCTCACCCCACGGCAGGCTCCAGTGTGTGATGTTCCCTATCCTGTGTCCAAGTGTTCTCATTGTTCAATTCCCACCTATGAGTGAGAATATGCGGTGTTTGGTTTTCTGTCCTTGTCACAGTTTGCTCGGAATGATGGTTTCCAGCTTCATCCCTGTCCCTACAAAGGGCATGAACTCATGCTTTTATATGGCTGCATAGTATTCCATGGTGTATATGTGCCACATTTTCTTAATCCAGTCTATAGGTGATGGACATTTGGGTTGGTTCCAAGTCTTTGCTATTGTGAATAGTGCTGCAATAAACACACGTGTGCATGTGTCTTTATAGCAGCATGATGTATGATTTATAATCCTTTGGGTATATACCCAGTAATAGGATGGCTGGGTCAAATGGTATTTCTAGTTCTAGATCCTTGAGGAATCGCCACACTGCCTTCCACGATGGTTGAACTAGTTTACAGTCCCACCAACAGTGTAAAAGTGTTCCTATTTCTCCACATCCTCTCCAGCACCTGTTGTTTCCTGACTTTAATGATTGCCATTCTAACTGGTGTGAGATGGTATCTCATTGTAGTTTCTATTTGCATTTCTCTGATGGCTGTAAATGGTGAGCATTTTTAAATGTGTCTGTTGGCTGCATAAATGTCTTCTTTTGAGAAGTGTCTGTTCATATGCTTTGCCCACATTTTATGGGGTTGTTTGATTTTTCTTTCTTGTAAATTTGTTGGAGTTCTTTGTAGATTCTGGATATTAGCCCTTTATCAGATGGGTAGATTGCAAAAATCTTCTCCCATTCTGTAGGTTGCCTGTTCACTCTGATGATAGTTTCTTTTGCTGTGCAGAATCTCTTTAGTTTAATTAGATTCCATTTCTCAATTTTGGCTTCGTTGCCATTGCTTTTGGTGTCTTAGTCATGAAATCCTTGCCCATGCCTATGTCCTGAGTGGTATTGCCTAGGTTTTCTTCTAGGGTTTTTATGGTTTTAGGTCTGACATTTAAGTCTTTAATCTATCTTGAATTAATTTTTGTGTAAGGTGTAAGGAGGGATCCAGTTTCAGCTTTCTACATGTGGCTAGCCAGTTTCCCCAGCACCATTTATTAAATAGGGAATCCTTTCCCCATTTCTCGTTTTCTTCAGATTTGTCAAAGATCAGATGGTTGTAGATGTGTAGTTGTATTTCTGAGGTCTCTGTTCTGTTCTATTGGTCTATATATCTGTTTTGGTACCAGTACCATGATATTTTGGTTACTGTAGATTTGTAGTATAGTTTGAAGTCAGGTAGTGTGATGCCTCCAGCTTTGTTCTTTTGGCTTAGGATTGTCTTGGCAATGTGGGCTCTTTTAAAAAACTTTAAAGTAGTTTTTTCCAGTTCTGCGAAGAAAGTCATTGGTAGCTTGATGGGGATGGCATTGAATCTATAAATTACTTTGGGCAGTATGGCCATTTTCAGGATATTGATTCTTCCTATCCATGAGCATGGAATGTTCTTCCATTTGTTTGTGTCCTTTTTTATTTTGTTAAGCAGTGGTTTGTAGTTCTCCTTGAAGAAGTCCTTCACATCCCTTGTAAGTTGGATTCCTAGGTATTTTACTCTCTTTGAAGCAATTGTGAATGGGAGTTCACTCGTG